GGTTTCATTATGACAAAAAACAAGTGTTCACTGCATTAGACAATTAAGAGACTTTGCAATTTATACTATTTTAGAAAGACCAGATATTGATGGTTTGTCTTAAACATCTCACAAAATACTTTTTTTTTTACTTAAACGTCCGTTTGAAAAAGTGTTTCAATCAAAATACAGCCCGAAATCAAAGGTATATTTTAGTTAATGCTTTTTTTAATGTTAAATACATAAAAAAATCCCCTGTGATAGTGTTCAGACTCAAGGATATTAAAACATTAATTCTTACCATTTTTTACAATACAGTACTATACTTGGGACCTATGTATATCTACGTTTTTCAAGATGGTGAATAACAAATGTCTTCACCATGGGTTTCTAAACAGGTTCAAAAGTTTTTATTTGATATGTAAGACATTGTCATTTATATTGATCCTCTTGCCCTACAGTTAAGTGTTCAATTTTATATTATTGATAGTAGTGTGATGCCAGCATGACCAAAGTTCATGAGAGTCCCACATCTCTCACAAAAATTCCAACAGATATTTATGTTATCTTGTATCATCATTTCTATGTAACAGACCTTGTGAATTTTAATCCATAATCCTGAAAATGAAGCTCTCTCTGCTCTGCTTTTTTTATTTCAGGTGACATTGTAAAGGTACTAACAAAACTGTAGCTATCAAAGTCTGTAACAGGGAGAGAGACACACTTGCCATGAGTCCTGGAGTCAAGTTATGGGTTGATTGTTACTTTTTGGTGGGGATCTTGCTGAAGATACTTGCTTACTTTCATTTGAAAGCAGAAAGATGGAACCACCCACCCTGGACAAACACTAAATGTAATGGGGATTATAACAGCACTGACAAGAGCAAGCAATTGCCTCCTGTAAAAACAAGATCAAAGGACTACAAACCTCCAAAAGGTTTCTGTCAAAACCAGTGGTAGGAATCTGCCCAGTTCAGATATACAGTACATTTGTGTTTGTGTAGGTGCAGAAGATGTGTGTGAGGACTGTATACAGAAAAGCTGGGAAATTATTCTAAGCATGAAAATAAACTGTAATTGCAACCACAAACATTTAGGTATTGTAAATGAATCATGCTTCTGCATGGGATTATGAGGCAACTACAAATTAAAAGTAATTTCTTTTTTAGAAGTGTTAATTATGGAAGTGCTATTTTGTGTAAAACAAACATAAGCTAGTTTATGCAGTTCACATGCACAAAATAATAAACCATCTCTCATTATTTCTCATATTTTTGCTTATTCGTTTTTACAATGCACTAGTAAGATATCATTTACATGTGTACAACCTTATTTACAATTTTACAAAAAAAGATATTTCTTATCTGGAATCTGTCCACATCACAGCAACAAGATACAGTACAGTTCAAGATCTAAAGTAAGATGTACAGTAACTTACAGTGACTGTCTCTTCATCAGAGAACACTACTAACAGAGAAAGTGTCATGAAATGGTGGCAGGAGATCCTCAAATCAATTAGTCACCAAATGAACATGAGCCGAATGGGCTTCTATTGTTTGTAACCATACGTTTTTTTAAAAGACTATTAGATTTCCCAGAGATTAGTGGACATATGCTCTTGTAATTAGACAAACTTATATTATAAACTTATATCATAACAATATAGAAAATTGGCTTTCACATTACATTAACATGGGTCCCCTGATGAGAGACATATTTTGAGAAATCCCTGAGGGTGTTAAGTGGTCAGTGAAAAAACACATAAGCTCTGCCAGCTCTAAATCTTGTTGGTACGGTTAATCACACAAATTTTGAATCCTTATAGCAAAGGAAATGCAGAAAAAAAAAAGATCTCATGCAGGAAGGATATGAATCACATCTAATAAAGCAGCAGTCACAAAGCTTTTAAAGTGCAGTACCTTTAAGCTACGTTTCACTGAGATGTACTGTCTTGTATTTACCTGCATAGATATGTAAATCACTTTAAAATTGTAGTGGGGTCTGAATACAGCAATAAAATATACTTTAAGATAAAACCTCCAAAATAAGTCTAGAATAACAACATTATATACAAAGAAGTTACTGCCAGCAAAATTCAGTGCATCATTCTTTTAGTCTTTACAGGCACAAATGTACATTATACCGTATCATATTCTATCACGTGATTATGATTTTTTTTAACGCAGTGCATTAGTGGTAAAGCTCATCTTAATGACATGTTTTATGACAAGGCCTATGCAATCTATGAGTGAAGCAGAATGCCTTTTTGTCTCTTACAGACAGTTTTTCTTTTACAGTGGGAGGGAGCATCAGCTCCTTGCAAAACAGTTACACATTTCACAAAATCTTTGATGAAGCACTGCTAAAACATTGCCTTCAAGTACAGTAGTGTGCCGCCTGGAAGCAACAAAAGAGATTTTCTTTCCATGGATACCTCAGTGTCTGACAATGAACCAACTGAAAACTTGTGTGGCAGCTGTTCACAAGCAATGCCCCAAAGGCGCCCTAACAAACACATTTATGGAAATGTCTGAACTTAGCTGCACTGCAAACCGTTGTCAATTCCATTCCTAAAATGGGCGAGGAACAACATGCTGTTCACAGACATACAGCAAAAGCAGATAAATCTGCGTCTACTTCAGTGTGTCTCATTTTTTGATCAGCAATACGTATTTTTGGTGGAAGTCTCAATGTTTCTCTATCTTTCTATTCTTCTGGTCTTTCTGTGGTTGTCTATGAATGTATATATCTATCTGGATGCATTATTTTTTCCATAATAATGCACTGTATTATTCCATTGCAGTGTCATTATTATGCCTCTCTCTGTCTTAAACAATGCACATTTAAATGTAAACAGTTCCGGAGGCATTTCAGATATAATCATTACTTATAACATTTTACTTTCAAAATAAAATTACTGTTCTGTATGTCACATCTTGTAACATAACCAAGAACAAAATATCAGAAACAAAATAACATGTACTGTACGAAGAACAACTGAAGAAGGCTTAACAAATGAAACATTCCTCTAAATAAAAACAAAACAAAACCTTTATTTGATTCTTTGCAGCAAAAGCACGCTGAGTCAGCTTCCCACTTGAACCTCATACAATAAATAGATGTTATAAAACTGTAGACCCAGCCAGATGTTTTTTTCATCTAAATGGAATTATAACAAAGGTTAGATCCTAATCGCGCACTCTTCCGCTCACTTAGTTATATATGTCTCGCACCCGGGACTTCCTGTAGCTCTCCTCTCTCATACCCCTCCTGCCTCCCTTTCCAAACCCCAACAACAGCTCCCTGGCTTCATCCTCTGAGTATAGTGGGAGGATCTGGGCAGCCGTGCCCTTCTGGCAAAGTCACAGATCCCTTCAGCCAGTTGAGCAACTGTACACCCAAATATACACTGCAGTTCTCATCTCTCACATTTATTAGGATCTACCCGAACTACTGAAATATAACTTACTGAGGTACTGTCATCCTTTAAATTTTATCGATTGCAATTAATACATTTTATTTTCACCCCCAAAGGATTCAAAGCATTTTACAGATGTCATACCACCTGGTTGACGTGGTGGCCATTATGCACTGGCAGGTCCACTACACAGCAGTTCAAGAATAAGAGGAAGAAATTCCTTCAGTAGTTGAATTATGAGGGAATTTTAAATTTAAGGTCAGATAGTTCAAGTGCAGAGTGGAATGTATCCTGGACACCAGGGTCAAGAGAGGGGATTTTTAATGAACAAGCAGCCAGGAACTTGTCCGGAATGTCTTTTCTGAATAATGTAATCCAGCAGTAAAGTATCCCTGGTCATAACAATGGGGCATTTGTTCTGATCATTTTTGTCCAAAGGGATGAATGCCTTTTACTTACTGCAGGAAATATTTTTTTTCCGTAGAGGCCCCTCAAGTCAATATGGACTAGGGTCATCCATGGTCAGCTTTTGAGATCTAATATGATCAGTCTATTTTTCTTGTTCCATTGATTGAGTGGCACTGTTAGTAATAATCTAATATTAATACTGTAATTTGTTTCTGTTTGTATCACTAAGTGTTGACAACACAGTATGGAAGCAGCAGAAGGCAGGTTGAGGTGCTTGCAAGAATTTGGATTTGTTGTCATTAATTATTCTAGTTATAGTACAAATGAAAAAAATAAACAATTATTTCGGAAGGAGGATCTTGGTATGGAGAAAGGAAGCATGGGCTCCCTTGGTACGGCGCCGCCCTTGTGGGTAGTACAAACATCTCCGTGGTGGCAGTAGTCCTTAATATTGTGTCTAATCCGCTACCAATAGAACAGTGACTCCCTTCCATTTTCCATCTCCTCAGGGGATTGTTTACACTGCATGGCAGAGGGCACTCAGTGCAAACCACTTAGACTTTGCACTCCTTCCATAGTGCAGCTTCCAGGTATATGCTTTTATTGTATTTACTTTTGTTTACTGAACACGTTTATATGTATAATTTGTTTATATGTTTAAGAATGCTCCAGATCGAGGATATATAAGAATAAAACAGATTGAGAGTAAAACGGATGAAAATTTCTCCTGGGAATTAAATGCTACAAAACTAAAACAAAACCCCCCAAATGCCAGAATTCCCGTCTACAAACTCTACAAAAAATGCAAGTGTTAGAATTACATTAAGAATTAGAATAAAGTGATGCACCATTTTTGCAGCTTCTAAATTTTACACTCTGCTTTTAAAAGATATGATATATTTTTTAAATTCTTTAACTCCTTGTTTTATTCAGATTTATTACATTATTTTACTATAGATCTATGGAATGCCATAGCATAGTGTCCTAAATATTATAACAAACAACAGGTTTTTAAACATAAAACAAAAGGAGAAACTACACCTTCTGCACCCTCACATTATCCTTTCTACTGTAGTTTTTCATCTGCTGCTGTGAACTGTGATCATTTACCATGTTTTATCATTTTATGCTCAATCAAAATAGTGATCATTATTCAACCCAAGGGAATATACAAAACAAGACAATACACTGGATTTAACTATTTTTTTAATCAAAACATGATTACATACCATTTTAGCACACAAAGAAAAAAAATATTATGTTTATCAGACCATTTCTTACACCACACTACCCACCAGAATGGGAGTGGAGTTGTTCTGGACCCAATAGCAAGGGCTTTCCAGTCCAGGAGAAGTGACTGGTGCACTCCGTAATGGACTGCGCTTCACTGAGCCAAATGCAGGAAGGGAAACTCAGGGAAGGGCACTGCTAGTTAGTCTGCAATTGGACCTTTGCAGGACAGGGAGTAGAACCTTGGGGCAGTCCACCATGCGGCACACAGGGTACTGTGCTGATCAGAGCACGTGCTCTTCATAGGGGATCTTCTCCTGAGCCCAGGTCAAGGGCACACTGTCAGGGCAGAATGGGGAGGCACGTCAGAGACCGAGCAGAATGCTGTGCTCACTCCAGTCCAGGTCCAGTAGAGTCCCAGGGCAGGTCAGAACAGGACAGGCTGGAGAACAGGAGAAGGCTGGCAGGGGGAAGAAGAGTCCAGGGGAATGGAAGCAGGACTTGAGTGTAGGACAGCTCCCTTGCGCCCAGTGCCTCGGAGGTCGAGCTTCACACCGTTCTCCTGATGCCGGTGATGAAGCAGAGCGTTGGGACTGACAGAAGTGGCTGTCCAACACCGCTCTCATGAGCCGCTAGACCCTGCTGCCAGAGCTCTGCGGAGGATGCCTCCATGCCATGTGCCATGTGGACCTGTGAGTGCTACCCACCTCCAGTGAGGGGCCACACCCTGCTGCCAGAGCATGACCCTTCCACAGAGGAAAACAGGAGTGCCAAAACCAGCATGAGACAAGCCCCCCCGTCACGGACCGTCCCACACAGGCTCCTGCCCTCCACCGCTCCACCCCGCCCGTTTCGTCCCACAACACTTGGGACGCGAACCCAGGTCTCCAGTGTAACACAACAGGGAGCCAGCCACATGAGCTAAAGGAGACCTCTCTCAGCATCAGAAGCTGAGGTCCCTGCTATGTGCAGGGAGGGCGATGACGTCACCGTGTCTGAACGCTCCGCTACAAGGCGTGCCCAGCATTGTGCGTGGATCCACACGCACTCTGACAGTTGTTCCCTCTGTGGCAGAAGATCCCCCCCCCCCAGAGCTCAACAGACCCAGCATCAGCTGATGAGGGCGAGGCCTTCCTTGTCTCTGACCAGCAGCTCACTTAGTCCTCCCCAAACTAGAACCCTGCTACTCTTATATACTCGGAAGACAGTCAAGCCAAGTTTGGGAATTCAAAGTCACCCTTGGAAATATGGGACCTGAGGGAGGGAGGGGGGGAATAGTAAACCTCGCCTTGGAGTTGGACTGTATCCACCACATCTCCCCTTTTACCCTAGGTTCACCCTTTGCTGCCGTTAACCTCTAAAAACCGGGGAGCAATGCCGGCTTTCTCCCTCACCTGCCGAGTCCAGAGGATGTCTGATCTCTCTTTGCCTTCCTACTGTCGCTTTACATGCTCCGTGACTAGCACGCCCCGCTGTAATGAAAAAGGCAGTAAAACTGTCAGTTAGTCCGAGGAGTCAGTGAGGAAGTCCCCAAACTGTTTTTCCTAATGCCGCCGTTGTCGAAGCTGCAGCGTTAATTGTAGTATTTAACAAAGCGCATACTCCTTTTCCTCACCTGTGTTAACTCAAGGTTCATTTGCATTTTCTGACGCTGGAAGGTTTAAAAGAAATGGAACAAACTCGACTCTTGGAAAGTTAAACCATCTTTACTTGTACATATTCGAGTACAAGTGCGCATTCTGAATATCATGACAATAGCCAATGTACATTCGTTTCACAATGATTGACTTCATAAAAATGTCGTGTTCCGATTGTTGTTTTGTGACCCTATCGTTTTGAAAGACGCAGTATGACGCATTTTAAACGGCAGAACATCTACTGTCTGGGATTAAATCAAAGTTGTTTTTGATTTTGTCTGTGCAACAGCCATAGCATCTGGAATCAAGGCGATGTGCTTGAAGCGCTCCTTCAGAGATTATACTCACCCAACACCGTTTGAAGCCTATTTACAAGACGCACAGTGACATTATTCTCAGCAGATTGCTCCGAGGAAAACAAAGTTAGTTCCTGTTTCAATTCAAACTGGTCACGAGTTACCAACTGTCTTTGTGTTTTTATTTAAATTACTATTTCTGCTGAAATAAAAGTTTCCTTTTTGCTGACGACGAAATAAGCCATCAGGTACAGTTCATATTTTAAATAGCGATTTAGAATTTAGATTTTTCAACAGCATTTTATTGTGTATTGAATGCACATATTTTTAACTATTAAAGATAAGTTACATAATTTTAACTGTCACCAACAAAAGATTTGTGTGCGTTACGAGTGTGTACTATATTTACCTAATACCTACATTTCATTCAATATGTGACGACGTATGGTGGATCCTGATGACATAGTCTGGACTACAGTATTAGGCAAATTCTTCCTTCTGCGACTTTAAATACAGTGATTCGCATTGACTAAGGATGATTTTCACACAGTGGATTAACGAAAGAAAGCACTCTGTAATACCATACAGTATCGTGAATTAAACGAGAAATGTATTTTTCAGATTCTGCACAGTGGAGAAAACGCCAGATGTAAAGGCGCAATGTTGTGATGCGGTGTGTCTACACATCTACGAACAGGCTATCCGTGGCTGGAATTCCCCTGGAGCTGCGCTTCGAAACGCGGATGGATCAAGGCGCTCCACACATAAAGGTCCGGCTGTAAACTACTAAAACTAGGGGAGAGAAGATGTTAATGCGAGAAAAATGTTTTTCACGTAGTGTTGGTACTGTTCTTACGCAGATGAGTTCATAATACAGATGAAGAATCATAAAATATCAAATGTAATTTGCAGACCCGATCGGCACCAATGTGAAACTGCTTAACAAAAGTGTTTTTCAAGAGGACTTTCGCCTGTACTGTAGATCCACAGGACAGATATAAAAAGGCACATAAATTTAACGTTACAGTCCCCCCTTGACCATGTTAAAATAGCTGGTTTGTGGGAATTATGCAATTGTTTAATTTTGAGAAGCAGGGTGTATTGGTACAATCCTTTGTTTTAACAGAAACGCTGAAACATTTGTTTACAGGTTGAGAAATATACACTTATAAAAACATGAGATGTCGGACTGTCTATACGCATCCTGCTCTGTGAACTTTGTGAAATACAGTATAGTGCTTTGTGAACTTTTAAATGAACTTACTTAAATGTAAGTAAAAATCTTACAAAAATACGTTCTGGAAAAAATGCTATATTGAATAGTACCCCTTTGGTACTAGTTACCTAAAACTTAAATAAATCCAGGTCGAAATGCAAGTCAAATAAACAGACTATAACAAACTTAAAAGTTAAAAAGTAAAAACTGAAAAACAAAACAATTATTTTTAACAGTAATCATACAAGAGATTAAACAAAAAATGTGCGTTTGTAATTTTGATTTTTGTTACAAATGTTGTAATTACAGTAGCTAATTTCTTCAATATTATGAATTCATTTTGCGCATCACAACTTTAACAAATTAGCTTCTCCATGAGTATCATTTTAACATTGCTTAAGATTGTGTATATTTTAGTTTCTGTACAATGTGCAATGTGTACTGTGGATACCCTTTCAATCGATATTATTGTCAAAGCAACATTATTTTGTTAATTTACTTATATAACAATAATCCACCATAATAATAATAACACATATAATAATAATAAAAAAATAAAAAAATAATAATAATAATAATGTATACATATATTATTATTATAATAAACGTATCTGCTAAATACGCAATTTTAATTATGATCTAATTGCGTATCTGTAATTACTGATACACCGCTCATTTTGGTGCGCGTAAACTTATCAATACCTGAATACTTGCAGATTTCCCCGTTTTCCTCGGTCTTGGAATGCTGGAAGCTAAAATGTCAGGTGAGGAGACACACAGACAATCCGTACATCCGTATTATAACCGTGTGATTATGAGATTTCTCATTGATTCTATTTGCACTTAATATTTGCTCCATTAAAATGAAACACCTCATGAGGTCAAAATAAAATTGTTCTTCAGCTTCCACCTGCAGCTTTTTTTTACGATTTCCAAATTATGGATTTTTAAAGTGAGATTTTTTTCAGTAATTTAAATTATTATATTATTTAGACAGTATATTATTTTATAAAGTGCTATGTTATTATTATTGTTGTAGTTGCTGTTATTAAACGTATAACAACAATTAAAAGGCTGGATTTTTATTTAGAATTGCTTTTGTTGCTAGTTTATGTGGAAGATATAGTGTTACATTTTTTTAGGTTTTGCAAGCTGTTTATTTTGGTTTCAAAGATCTTAAAAGGAACTTAAGACACACAAAGGGGTTTTCAATTTATTTTGATACTGAAAATTAAGTTCTCCGTGTCGAATAAAGACTGATATTAAAAAGAAATTCAAACATTTCAGTATATGGACAATAATCTATGTACAATAATAATCTATTATAATGTTTTTTCAGATACACGCTCATTTTAAAATGTTTTCACTGAACATTTTTATGCTGGCATGTGATGAAAATAAACTCCGAGATCTTTCGTATGGTGTACAAGACAATGCCAATTACATTTATCTCTAATTCCAATACCGATAATTTCTAATTTCTCAATGGAATGTATTGTATTTTAGGTATAAGTATACTGTACCATTTAAATATAGTGATACCAGAAATTTTAATTTCTGATATAAAAATATGTTTTAGAGGACTAGCGAGTGACAGTAAAAGAAACAAAATAAGGATAGATTGTTTTATAACGAAGTAAACCACATCTAATACTATACACCCTGAAAAAACAGTATTAAACGCGGATCTATTTATGTTCATAGCATGGAATGCAGTGTATATTACAAGTATATATTACTGACACCAGTAAAAATAATATTGATAAATATTTTGTATCTAGTATTTTGAAAAAAATACTGCTCCTTTAACTTACTCTTAGTCACAAATCCTGTATTATTTGATTAAAAACAGTAAAAAAAATAAGCAGTGGTTCCTTTGCAGCCCGCAAGCTGACGCATTTTACAGTACCTACTCCAACCTCTTACGATGTGACGTATATGACCAGTTTAAAAACGTCTGCAAGCAATTACTGAACAAAAAGGATTAATGTGGGACATTGCAACCACAGAAATAATAATACATTTCAAGAACTTATTACATTTAAAAAGCATTGTTGGTAATATTGTATAGAGCTGAATTTATTTTTCATTTACTTACTGGCGCAGTTAATTCTCTACATGTCGATGGAAAACTTTCATGTAAACCATTATTTTTAAAATATGTCCACAAAAGCTTTGTAAAATAGCATAACAAAAAAAAAATAACATGGGAGTATATCATTTTCAGATAGCGACAGCACCACAATTGCGCGGAAGTAAAATATTAAAATGTCCTGGACATTTTATCTCCAGTGATGATGATAAAGTGAAGCCATTGCTACGGTACTTATACAGCATATGCCCATGTGCATGTTTATTCAATTTTTAATTTAAGAAGGTGTGTGTGTGTGTTATTTTAAAAAATAACGTAGGCCCCACCCATCTTCTATTAGTAATGACATACAAGAAACTTTAAAAAATAGCGTTGTACGTGTGTCGTAGGGGGGCATGGTTACCATAGAAACCGAAAATGAAAGATGTTTCTTTCGCTGTCAGTTTGTTATATTAAGTTTTGATTGAGGTGTAATGGGGGGTATTGATTGCTGTACGGGAATGACAATGCGACAAGGCAACGAACAGCCGGCCGCTTTTCAGTTGATGTCGCAGGGCAGTGCGGTGCTGAAAGGAAAGAAAGCCAACTGTCTCCGAGAGGAGCGCGTTTCAGACTTTATGTTTTTTCGTGGCGTAAAAACATTCAGGCCACATTCTGGTGGCCTGACTTAATCATCTTGTCGTATGCTCCATGTCTCTGAGCTGTTATGAAAACAAAACTACCCCGTCCTTCCTCTTCCTGATGTGCTCTTGTACTGAGCTTGCGTACTGGTGCAGCCTCCAGTGACGTCATACGCTGGCTTGCTCGATAGAGGCAAGTCAGAACAAATATCTGTATACACCGAGGTGATACACAGAATAGAGACTGTGCTTACTAGTTTAATTTAATGCATATATGTATGCCAGTTGAAAAACTACTATGCAAGTGGCCGCAGTAGGTTTCGTATGTTGACTCGGGACATATTTTAGATTGAGCCTCAAGTGATGCGGTGCTACCTGTCAAAAAAAGAAGGACGCGTTGAAGCTGCACTTCTGAAAAAAGGATTAGCCCTGTCTCACAATGACCTCTGTCGATCAGCTGGCATCAGCAGCTGCAACTGGACAAACTGAATACGTACTAACTTTGCTACAGAACGGCTGCGATCCCAATGGTACGAATCGTTTTGGACGGACACCTATTCAGGTACGTTGTAGTAAATACGGTCAGGGCTTAGTCTACAGTAGGCTGTAGTCAGCTGTGACATCGCTAACATCATTTAAAGTAGAGTATGTTGCAGACTTGCATCTGGCACAGAATGAGTTACAGCTACAATTTTAAAATGACAGAGATGGAATAAAGATATAGGACGAACGACAGCTGTATCCTTACCTACAGATTAAAACGAAAGTACAGCATTCTGACAATAGGGGAACTGATGGCCACCGTAAACTCGTTTGATTTTAAATACCAATTTCAGTAATATCGCTTAAATTACATTGTATACTGTAAATGTTAATAATAACGAAATTACTACAACCATCTTATTTGCTTGTTTCGTACATTTCAAAAGCAATTCATATAAGCTGTTTCACTATATGGACTCCATATTTGTCAATCACAAAACATTTTGGTATTTTCTATAAAAATAAAAAGTTATATCTTTAAATAAGTAAATGTATTTACTTTCAGACTTTCTAAGCACCTTAAGACATGGAACGTAAATAGTAGTAATAGTTATTTTCTCTCGAGGGTCCATAAAAATGCCAGGCAATCTATTACAAATCAAATATAGATGCAATTCTTATAAAATGAGCAAATCGTTTATTTTCGGTGTTTCTTAAGTAGTCGAAATTATTGGCATAAGCAAATTCGTTAATCATGAAACAAAACAGCATGTGGATAAAAGTATTGAGTATCTTGAATTCAAAATGTCAGGGTTTAAGTGTTAAACAGGCTATCGTCTCCCTTTTTATCTCCCATTAAAACACTTGAGGTTCACTCTGACCTTTGTAAAGATAATGATGTTGAAATTTCCATTCAAAAATGATGCCACTGATTTTCAATTTTGAAATGTATCGATATGACTTAGAATCACTGTAGTTTTTGACGTGCTTGTTATGTAATATTATTAAGAAAATAATACACAGGCCAGTGGGGTCTTACCAACTTCAAATGTGCAATTATTAAGGGCTTTTACTGAAAAGCACACATGATAAATCTCTCTAACTTAAAAATAACAAACGTTTTTTTTTTACCATTTCCATTAGCTCGTTATGTTAAGGTTTTATACATATAAATGGAATTAGATTAGAGATTAAATGTGATAGATTAAATTAAGACAAATTATTCAATATTCAAAAATTATTTCGTTTAAAGATAACGAGTGTTCAAAAACTGTCATTGACATCAGTACCAGTGTTTTAAAGAAGTGTTTTAAAATAATTACACAATTTCTTCCAACATTAAACAACAAAACTAATATGGATTGCTTGATAAACTTACAATAGACCTACAAAAATAAAATTCCTCGAACGTGTGCTTTAAAGCAGTCTGTATTATAAGTGTTGCGCTATTACACTACTATTAGTGTTTATTTTCAATATATGATTTATGAGTGTTAAGAAATGTGGAACCTTTTTTGGCCTTTCTACAATACATAAGCAATCAAAACAAAAACAGAAAATATTATAGAGGGTGTTTTGACGTTTTGCCCTTTTCATTTAAAATAAATAGCAAATTCACGAAGAGCTGTAATGCCCTAAGGTTCCTGGATATGAACTAATCAAACATATTAATGTTAGACACAGACTGTCAAATGATCCTGTAGTTGGAGTTTAGGACAAAATACAGGCATTCAGAGATATACTGTATAATTCATGTCAACGGGTGCCTATTAAAAAGGAAACTCGCACATTGTTATATGGGTAGTCTATATAATAAAATGTTTGTTTTCCTTTTGTACTTCATTGTAAACAATACTGAACATCTCTCGGTGAATGAAGCATTGTAAGAAAACGATATACTGTTTAGATTAATTCATTCATTTTGTAGGTTATGATGATGGGGAATACATCTGTAGCCAGACTGCTGCTGCTGTACGGTGCGAACCCGAATTTGCAGGATGTGACCACAGGGATGACTCCGCTCCACGACGCAGCTAGTGGTGGTTTTCTGGACACAGTTATGATACTGGACCAATATCATGCCGACAGAAATATCACGGATAACTTCAACCGGCGACCTGTTGATCTCGCCAAAGCAAACGGACACGAGGACGTTGTAGATTTTCTGGAACCATAAATAATCCAGGATATTTTTGTTTTATTTTAAATAAGTCTGTTCATTGTTGAATGGTTTGTAAGTATTATTTTTTTCATGTAAATGATTTTAGAAAATATTGTTACCCTTTTCCTATTGCATTATTATTTAAAATAATTCAAAATCATTCAAATTTGTGTCTGATTAAAATATATGACCCCTTCGTATGAATATATAAGTATAAGATATGAAACCCTCGTATGACTAGTGAAATATATAACTATTATTTCACGTAATAATGGATATTAAATGTTTCATTGGTTCCATTGTCAGACGGTTATATTTACCTGTTAACTGTTTTTTTCATTTTCCTGCCAGTTCCTCTTTTAATTGGGATTATCCTACAATAAATCGGTTGATATATGTGGAAAGAATCTTCTCAGCATATGAATACGTTTAATAATTAAGAACGTTTTTTTCTATAGCAGGGTTTCCCGCAGGAAAAAGCTTAGGCAAGGTGAAAATCTCCACCCCACTCCCGACACCGTACGACTCCCACCTACTGTATACTGTAGTATCTTCTGAACTAGCTATCATTATTATTGCAATTTTAAAATACTATCCCGAGCAAGACGTTATTTATTTTTTTACCACAACAACTAGTTTGATTATATAGGATTCATTAAAGATGTAGACTACCCTAGGAAGAGCTTTGTTCTTGAAACGGGAAAGGCATTGCTATTTGATATTTTCTGTATGTATAAATTCTTCAATGTGTTCTTTTTGGTATTCAAAAAGGCGCTGTTTATTGTGGGCTCATGGAGTCAATAACTCAATCGCACGTCTTTTTTTTTCACTGTGAAAATCAGATGATTGATCTTGCGAGGAAACCCGTTTTTTTTTCTCCGTCGATTATTGGCAGAGTGTTCAAGGGATCAATTTATGCATGAAATGTATGTATGCACCTTCATGCACGAAAATGTCCATCGAAAACTGTGATGACATAGCGTTTGTATTTATGATTTGGTTAATTAACGGAATAACGGCTCTCCAGTACAATCCTTTTAAAAATACGTTCATGACCTATTTTTTTAAATCAACTTAGAAGTGATGCAAACGTGTGAGATTTTCAGACCTAGTTTTTAGTGATGATCTACTACACGAAAATATGTTAACATTTAAATTTCCAAGGGAAACTCAATTTCGTGCTAAAAATTAGGAAATTAAGTGTGCTTTATTATTATTATTATGGACGAGCGTACTTCACCAACGTGTAGCTCCACCTGTATATTATACTTTATACTCTTAAGGTAGGTGTAATATTAAAATAACTTTAGCAGTTTAATAGATTTTGCGTTTTCTTAATCTGTACAGACAGTAGTCCACAGCCGCATAAACAATATGCGTTACTGGTTGGGCGGACTTAGTGGTCAAGAGCTGTTTGTAGTATCTTCTAAAAAAGCTACGATTTGTCGAAAAAAAGTATTAGCACAGGTACTGTAGCACGTTATCTTGAATCCTGCAGTATTTTATATTGGCGAAGAGTATAAAAGTGCAGTTGTTGCTGCCAAGAAAAAAATCGTGGAACATTATCACGTAATTACGGGGTAGTAAATTGTGTGATAATTATAATTTGACAGAACAACCTACATTATGTTGTTGACTTTTTTGCTTTAGTGTTATTGAGGAAGTCCAGCACTACAGAATTTATATTTACTTTGACAGGAGTTTAGCCATAATGAAAATTGCACTGTTTAGTTCATTGTTTGCAATCGCAATTAAATAGGCCTTTATCACAGTCATTGACTTTTTAGGCTACGTGAACAAAATCAGTATACAGCATAAGCACTCACACGTAAACAAGACTACGTGATAATTATCACGTAATTATATGATTATGAATTGATTTTTTATTTGTTATGAGTTGTAGCAATTCTCCTCCGTAGGTAAAAGTGATAGATAACTGATTCTTAGAAAATCTGGTGGATTCCGGACCATAGTTGGGAATGTCTATAAAAGGCTTTTGTTCTCTCAGCTCCTCAAAAATGAGGAAATAAAGCGTGCTCCATTGCTTTGTTTGATCAAAAAATTATTTTGTGCTGTTCGAACTTAAATTGATCACATTTTACATGGATCCAACTAATGTAAGTAATTTGGTAATAATGACCTTTTATAACATCAGTTTTCCTTCGGGGTTCATAAAGTCTCATCTGTTATTTTAAGACAGGTTTTGCGCTTTATAAATGTCTGCTATCTGTATACTGATGGATGAAGATGATTGTAGTAGCAGATAAAATACTGGCGACTTCGATTCTTCAACAATTATTAAAACCTAAAGAAATACCAATTGAATGGAACAATAACTCTGTGGTTAGTCATATTAATAGCCCATCGACAAAGGATTTACAGTCTCGGAATTTTCAAAATTGAACCTCTTTATTCTTATTACACCTTGAGAAACAAAAACACAGTTTGGAATCGACTACAGATGTAATGTTTCAGTACAAGTCGATGTGCTGTTGTGATTCTTGCCTTATAATATACTGTAACCAACAAATGTAAGTACATTAAGCACATTAGGTACTTCGAATGCAATTTTTATTTTAGGATGGGAAATGTTCGTTGCTCTTGATTTCCTCGTACTGTATAAAAGTAAAGTGCCACGCATAGGTGTTTTTAAATTTGCAAGTATATTTCTGTTGGACAGGTTGAAGAGAAACAGAAACACCGTTTAAGAATTAAATTACAATTCCTTTACATGTAATATTTTAACAAGATGTAAGGACGTATTTAATGCTTGATATGTCTTACCTTTTTTAAAAATATGTACCTATGCTACACAATGCTATGATTTCTAAAAAAAAAATGTTCTACACGTAAATGTGCAATCTTTGTTCATCATGAAGATGAATTCTGCTAAGAAAATTATGCAGGAAAAGAACATGCAAAACATATATTGAGAAGGCTGAATATCTCCATTTAGAGAGAGTCTTTATTATCCTAATTTGCCAAATAGCCATGCATTTTATGTGTCCCTTTGTGTTATTATGCAGAAGTCTTCATAATAAGAATACGAAGAATATGGACGGGCGTCCATTACCAACGTGTAGCCCCACCTGTATATTATACTTTATATTCTTAAGGTAGGTGTAATATTAATATAACTTTACTGTAATATACAATAAATAAAACCTGTACAGACAGTAGTCCACAGTCGCATAAACATAAATTGGGCGGATTTAGTGGTCAAGAGATGTTTGTAGTATCTTCTAAAAAAGCTACGATTTGTCGAAAAAAGTATGAGCACAGGAAAGCATTTGTGCTATCTTGAATCCTGCAGTATTTTATATTGTCGAAAAGTATAAAAGTGCAGTTGTTTCTGCCAAGAAAAAAAACTCGTTGAACATTATCACGTACTTACGGGGTAGGAAATTGTGTGATGATTATAATTTGAACAACGTACATTATGTTGTTGACTTTTTTTACTTTAGTGTTCATGAGGTTGTCCAATTTACTATATATTTACTTTTGACAGGAGTTTAGACATAACGAAATGTTCACTTTTTAGCTCATGTGAACATTATTGTTCAGCCGAATTGATTGCAATCCCACCATTGAATGGGCCTTTATCATTGTGTCATGAACGTTTACGTGAACAGAATAGTTATAAAATACAAGGACACTCACACACAAACAACATGATCACGTAATTAAGTGATTGATTACAAATTGATTTTTTTATTCGTTATCAGTTGTAGCAAAGCTCTTCCGTAGGATAAAGTGATAGATGACTGATTCGTAGAAAATCTCTTGGATTCCGGACCATAGCTGGGAATCCCTGTAGAAGGCTTTTGTTCTCTCAGCTCCAAGAAATGTAAAATATGAATACAATAATCTTTTTCATTTTTGTTTTACAGCTTAGTGTTGCTCAAGTGCGATTGTAATTTTTTTTAATTTCATACTTTGCGTTATTGTGCAATACTTTATATATTTTTTAGAGTATGCTGAACTGCAGTGTACAAATAAATGAGTACAGAAGAACATTCATTTTTTAACGTTGTACACAAGTGATTACAAAGTAACTTTATGTCAGGATTGATTCAATGAAGATCTGATTAGTGAGAATTATGGACCTTATGCCATACTTCTACAAATTGTATCTTCAAACTGCTGACAACTGAATGTTGTAATGGACATGACGCACCTTAATAAAACTTGGAAAACAAAGAAGATTTTACTTCATAAACATTTGATTGGCCTGAGATATAAAAAATCTGAGAATAAAATCTGTAACCAAGATCAAGGTTACATTACTAGAACAAGTGGTTAAATATATTTCTAAACACCAAAGAAGGACTTTTGTCTGAAACACATTATTTTCAAATAACTTTAATTCCGTGTATAACATAAAAATGTTCTTTTCAGCTTGTTATACAGCTGCCTTTAATAAATTTGTATTCTGCACTTTTTTTGTATGCTGTACTGTATGAGGTTTATGATGTGAGTAATAAGGAGTACTGCATATAAATTTACTATTACTAAGTTAAGGAGTTAATTCATTTATTTTCAACTATACAGGGATGTATATGTCACATACAAAATGTTGATAAAATAGTTATATTTTTAAAATAAATCGGAGATATTTTCAGTTTAGAAACATTGTAAAATAATTGTAAAAAAATCAATCCTATACAGTATGCAAGTCCTAACAAGTCACCTTTCAATTTTAACACCATTTTTTGTTGTCTTGTTTCATATAGCTTTGTACAACATATAGCTTTGTAAAAATAGGAAAGGATGGTTTAAAAAATAAAGTATATTGCCAATGAGGATAATATTTTAGAAAAAATAAAAAATGATATTTGTTCATTGTTACATAATAGTGTGTCATGAATGTGATAGTGGGAAAGCAATAAGCAAGAAACATTTCCATTTTGTTAACACTTGTAAATTACATTTCTATTACAGGAAACCACATTGCATTGTGATCATACTGATCATACTCTAGTATAATCTGATATAACATTAATAATAATAGAATAATAAGCATGCAGTGATACAGTATGTATTTAAAACAAATGAATCTTAAAGCTTAAGATAAATTAATTAGTTATGAGTTACTAAGTAAGTTATTAATTATTAGATAATTAGCTTTATCTTAAACAACATAACATTTACCACAGTGTCTCACCTTGGCTTGATTCGGACACAGAATGCAGAGTTTACAGTACGTTTGCAGGTCCATTCACACCATGAGAGGTATGCTAGTTTGATAAAATTGTGTCTACCTTGTTAATTTGTGTGCCTTGTGAAGGACTGGTGTTCTATCTAGGAATATAGTTATGTTCTGCCTTGTTCCCTGTGTTTCTGGGATAGACTCTGGGTTTCCATGACCCTTATATGGATGCCTTATATACCAGTGATGGGAAAAATGGATGAATGTGGTTGAAATGGTAAATTTGATCACATTCTCTGGTGTGTGTGTTCAGTCCGGACAAAAACTGTTTTGTCGTGCTTTCATATTCTATCCGTCCATTATCAGAAAGTTGTTTATTTCCTGGTAAGGCCTGTGAGGCCTACAGATGCAGAGTTTAAAAATAAAATGCAGAAGATGGAATGAGGAACTATGGATCGCTAAGTAGATACAATATTCATTATTCATGAAGTCTACTCATCAAAGGTTTCCTGATAGTAATATTCTCCCCTTTCTTTAAAAAAATAAACACACAAGGATTCAAAATGACATGGCAGATTTGTTCTGGTTCTTTGTAGGTTTGGCTCTAGACGCTCACGTCTATGTAATATAATAATAAAATAATAATAATAATAATAATAATAATAATATTAACACCTATATAGCACTTTTCTGGAAACTTCACTCAAAGCACTTTATAGTGTCCACATCGCTATACTGGGGCATTAGAACCGCAAAGTGAGCGTCCCCTAATGGTAACACTAACACCTCTCCCAGCAGCAACCTTAGTTTTTCCCAGTATGTCTTCCATCCAGGTACTAACCAGGCTCACCCCTGCTTAGCTTTAGTAGGTTGTCAGTTGGCAGTTGCAGGGTGATATGACTACTGGCACAGTGTACTGTATGTGCAGTTCATGTGGATTTTTTGCCAGGTGCTCTGGTTTTCTCTTGACTATCAAATACACACTATTATAAACTGTCCCTTTCTATAGGGCCGTGTGATGGGCCAGTGTTCAATCCATGGTGAGAGCAGTTGTCTACTCTTAGCTCCACCTTGTGCCTTCTGCCTGATAGGCTCTGACTTGCCAGGTCCCTCACCAGGATAAGCAGTTGACTAAGTTTGAGTCAGAAGCTGAGTCAGTGTTGGCTGCAAAGGAACAATTAGAGTTCATGTCTACACTTAAACAAAGAAAGAAGAAACCAAGTATTTCAGCTATTGAGCCTTTCCAGGTGTGTCCCACCTGATGCATTTAACTTATTATAAATTATTTGGATGGAATAAAAAATAAGTAACCAAAATACAGATAAAGGTAGCATATTTAGCTATTTAGCTTTTACTGGTTAGCTTTATAGCATTAAATAAATTTAGTTTCCTTTTCTCCAGGCTTGCAGTGGCTAGCATTGCCAACTTGAACATCTGGGGCCCTGGGTTCAATTTCTGCTGTGCTATCTACGTAGAGTTTGTATGTTCTCCTTGTGTTCACATGGGTTTCTCCCAGGCACTCCAATTTCCTCCATTGTCCAAAGACATACTGATAGGTTAATTTACTTTTTGGAAAATTGGCCCTGGTATTAGTGTGTGTGTGTTTGTGTTTGTCTATGTGTACTCTCTGATGGTCCTGCCTGTCAGGAAAACTTAACATTGCCTTATTGTAGATACAACTGTCCTTCTAAATGTGGTTAAAATGGTCTTTTGGCAATGTTCCAAGCACAGTATAAAGATAGTAAAGCCTGTCTACACTGTATATCCATCCCTTCCTTGCTCATAGGTGTCATATGTGATATGTCATAAGTGGATTACTGCATTGATAGTGTTACACATACTCATCCCTGTTTTGCATATTAATGTCATTTTTAAGTTCCTTTCTAAAATCATATTTTGAAAAACGTTCAAGACGATTGCAGATGTTAAACAAATAAACCTATTTTTATTAGGAAAACCTGGGTAGATCAGTATTATTATAGTGCGAAAAGCAGACACTAAGTAATGCAAAAGAAATTTGAGACCCACCCACAAAGACTTATCATTTCACAGCAGACATGAAACAGGCTTCAAATAGAGTTGTGAGCAGCAGCACAAAAAGCCGCATGCGTGAGTTCTCAAGGGAAATAGAAATAACATACATCTGCAAAGTGGAAGTAACCAAGGACTGCAGATATAAGCTACTACTAAGTGTATAATGTTTTAATTTTTTACTACAGTATGTAATGCTACCTTTTGAGTTTATACATTCCAAATGAAAAACTGTTTAGTCATAAAATACACATTTTTTTAACAATTCAGACAAACTTTCCCTTGGACACCTTTAAGTCATGTTGTGCTGGTGATGGTGAGTGATGGTAATAAACAGGCAGAATCAATAATATTATGCTGCCCGGAGAAACCATGGTGTGGATTCTATTTGATTTTATTGAGCCTTTTAATTTAATTATTGACATATAAGTACAGTATGCTGCATTTAGTTTATCTCTACCCATGATAACAGTTTAAACTATAACATTTAATAAAATGTGGTCAAAGGTAATTTTGATAAAGATATGCCCAAAATGTTTCTCTTTTGTGCACTTTTTAATCAGCTGTAAATATTTTTTCTTTTATTTTAGATGATGCATAAATCCATCAATGGAAATTAAATTAATGACAGCACAGAGGCAACTGATTCTGAAGGTATTTGCTTTGATAAATTCATAATAATAAATGATTGGTTAACAGTAGAAGAATCTGTATTTTAATGCTAATTAAATATGCTAAAATTAAATACAAAGAACAATAATTATGAGAACCCCAAAAAAGTTGTATTGCTGGAAAAAAACAACACATACATTTGTTAGCTGGATAGTGAACAATTTGACTACAATAGGGAGGTCTATGAAACGGTGCTTTGGTTTTAAGAAGTAAAGGTTACTTTAGGTAGGTAAATATCTCTTGTACTGTTACATTTTTATTTTAATCTCAAATTTGATATTATTTTGATTTATTTTATACAACCCATTTGTAATCATCACCTAATGTTTAATCAACTATACTCTCATTTAAAAAAAAAAGAAATCTCGGATGCAAAAGCATCATAAGATCCAGGAGGGTCAGGTGAGTGCTGTCATTTTTTTGCTTACTCTGGGTGAGAGAGGGTCACGGTGGTAACAGGCAAAGCAGAGCAGACCAGACTACCCTGTCCCCCACAACGGTCTCCAATTCCTCCTGATGGATTTACAGGTGTTTCCAGGACAGCCGAGAGATAAAATCCCTCCAGAGTGTCCTGCGTCTGACCAGTGGGTTATGCTCAGGACACCTCCAGCAGGAGGCCTCATGGGGGTACCTCAACCGGCTCATCTCAATACAGAGGAGCAGGAGCTCTACTCCAGGGTTCTCCCAAACTGCAGAGCTCCACACCCTGCCATGAAGAGTAATCCCAGCAACTATAAAAATAAACTTAATTTCTGCTATTTGTACCCACAATCTCATTCTTTCCATCACTACGCAAAGCTCATGACCATAGGGATAGGGACATAGATTGTCTGAAAACTCTCTTCCCCATTTTTCACCATGTTTTGGTAGAGTGTCCACATTACTTCAGTAGCTGCACAAATCTGCTGGTCAATCTCACTATCTCCTCTACCTTCACTTATGAACCAGACCCCGAGGTTCTTAAGATCCTCCAGCTTTGGTAGCTATTACCCCCTCACCTGGAGAGAGCAAGCCATTCTTTGCCAGCAGGGAAGTGCTGACCCTCATCCCTCATCCACGTCACACTTAGCTGTTAACCTCTCCAGCGTACACTAGAAATCAAAGTCACAGGAGGCAAAGAGAACAACATCGTCCACAAACAATAGAGATGCAAACCCTCATTTCCCTGGATATACTCTAAACCTTAGCTGTGTCTTGGTATCCTGTTCATGAAGATCAAAAACAGGAGAGAAGAGAAGATGTACCCTTGGTGGAGTCAGATGCCCACATTAAATGGACTCGACTTAATGCCAGAACACATCTTTGTCAAATACTGGCTTAACGTTGTCTAGCATCAGAGCAGGTTGAGACTAGAATGATCCAAATATGTACCAGAATATGAATAAACAGCGTTATGTTGACTGAAAATGACCCTATCACCCAGACACAACTCTTGCTCTGTAAATACTGTAAATGGATGGCATGCAGCTGCTCTCCTCGACCCCATACACCTGCAGCATCTCCCACAGGATACTCTGGATACATGGTCATAAGTCTTCTTCAAGTTTTTTATTGCTTTGAAGATGTAAATGGTGCCACCATACAAAGAAATCCCGAATAAATTATTTTTAAAATGAAAATCCAATTTCACATCTGTCCCAGTAACTCCTGTTTTGTTATTCTACTTTTGACTTTTTTCTACATTTTTGCTTCTGAAATGAACAGCATTACTTTGTATTTCATTATGCATATTACAGTTATTCATAAAAATAAGGAACTTAGAGACCTATTTTAAGACCTAAAATGGCTGACAAGCATGTAAGTCTTAGATTGTGTCTATAAAACAAAATATATTCATGCTCTTGCTATAAGTTAAATGCCAATGAAAAATAATACAATAATGTCACAATATGAATATACAGTACCCAGTCTAAAAAGAAAAAATAAAAGCTCTCTCCTTCTTATTTATTTTAATGCTAAAGACAAAACAAACCATGCTTAATACTGCTAAATCTTTACATCAGCTTTAAATCAGTTGAAACCTCTCAGGAGACCTTTAAGAAACAGTCATTATGTTTCCGAAACAAAAGTCACAGACTGAGTTCTTCCTTGATGGTTGTTGCAGTCCCACTAAATGAGGGACCCCAGTGACTTTTCTTCATACATATTGACCCGCCATTTCTGGAAAGTAATACTGGCAGGAACCATGTTTCTTTTTCTCAGTGTAAGGAACTGAGAAATGTGCCTCAAATTGTGCGTGTGTGTGTGTGTGAGGGGGAGAACATACACATTCCAGAAGCTGGGCAGCTGCACAGCTCCGGGGGATGACTCAGGCTCCACTGTCCGTCACACCACTGATGGCTGGCAAGTGTGCAAAGTACCAAGGTGAAGGAAGGATGTGGTATTTTCTAAGCAGAGACATAGAGCTGCAGGAACTAGGAAAGGGATCCAAATGAAATGAAAAACTGCACGTTAGCAATCAGGGATAATAATAATACGTGTGAGAGTCTTCTCAAACTAGCCAGCCATGTAGAGGAGATAACAAAGGCCGTACAGTTTGTAGACAATTTGTTTAGTCTCATCTTTGTTGTTTCTGATTTTTTAACTTCTTTTTGCCTACCACACTGCAACTTTGTATAAAGCACACACCTACCGTTTCTTTCTCTGCAGTAGCTGTTTTCGGCTTGTCTGGCATGCCAGTGGACTCTGACATTTGACACAATTCTTAAAAGCAGCACACAGCCACACTGCCTCAAAATGTGGTGGCTCTGGTAAGAGAAAAGCATTTCACGGTTCTCACACTAGGGCATTTGACTGAGATTGTGAGTAAATGTCGTGACTAACTAAATGAACTCTAACAATTACAAAATAATTTTAAGAGTTTCTATCTTCCAAACAATTTTTTGTACCAGTAAATTAAGCTTCAACCCCTCACAACTCTTAATTCCGGAAGCTTTGTAACAAGTCACTTCATGTGCAAATAGGAAGTGCTGTGGTCTGTGATTTATTATGTCTACTTCCGCCAGCACTTTTCATGATTGACAAAAAACTCTCCCTACTTAAATCAAAGCCTAACCTTGCTATACAACACTCTTTAATAACCCATGGCAGAATTCAGCATTAACAGTCTAAAGCACAGATAAGGCTTGTGTAAAGTTATCAGTTAATTAAGGTGCTGTAGGTCAGTACATCACAACAACAGAAATAAAGGAAATGTGGATTATTTCTGGACTTTCTTGTTTACTGATCCTTTTTTAAATTCTGATTAGAATCTCTTTAGCTGTCTGAGAAAATCCTGAATTTGATTTGCAATGTCCATTTTACAACCTAAAAGCAGCTCTGCTTGTATCTGGAAAAAAATTGGTCTTCTGTATATTCGCTGTGGTATAGTAATAACAAATCTGTGATTAAGAACTTTGTTATCTTTTTTAGATTTTTTTTAAATGTACCTTGTGTTCTGGTGCAACACAGAGATCTATTCTTCATACACATGAATAATGATTTGATTTGTGAATTATACATTTGAAGTAAGCCAGCAGTTATATCTCTCTGCAGCTCTCAACTGGCTATCCACTGATGCTAAGCAGGATTGAGCCTGGTCAGTACCTGGATGAGAGACTGCTTGGGAAGCTATGGCTGCTGCTGGAAGTGGTGTTAGTGGGACCAGTGGGGGGGGGCACATTGCGGTCGATGTGGGTTTTAATGCCCCAGTATAGTGGTGGGGCATTAGGACAGAAACAGTCACAGTCAGTGTGTGCCCTACAGTGAACTGCTGTCCCATCTAGGGTGTGTTTTGCCTTGTAGCCATCATTTGGTGAAATAGGCTCTCGCTTACCCGCAACCGTCAATTGGGTGAAGCATAAAAAAATGGAAGGATTGATGGGATACCAAGCTTCATTTATTTTACAGCAGTTTAAGCATTAATAATTAGTAAATCAAAAACAAAAACGTCAGTACAAATGACAGATTCATGGTAACAAGCTAAAAGCATCAGCTATTGTTAAACCACGAGATGTCTACAGAAAACGTTTTTAACAGATAAATGTCAAAACTGCATACATCTCACACTAACACTTCGTTATGTGTCAGTATGGTCTTTGCCAGAGTAACTTTTAATTTTATAAATGCACGCTGCCGGAATAATACAAACCTGGTCTCATTCTCTATCCGCATAAGAGAAGTGTTTAAAGTTTCAGATACCAACATCGTGACACTTTGCAGGATCTGTGGATGTCAGCTGTGAGAAGATGAAAAGCTGGAAAGCTACCAGGAGGAGAAGGGAGAATGCCCTTATATTCTGGGTCTCTGCTGAGTGTGACTGTATATCTGTGAAGAGTCAGCAGGGATTTACGTTTTATATACAGTATAGAATTTACCACTGCATTTATACAGGAATATGGTTTTCACTATGGTGAGCACTACTACACACTAGACCAGATGCTGGTCAAAAGCAGCCTAGGATCCTGCATCAGTCTGCTGAATGATAAATCCAGACAACAGGCTTTATGGGTGAGAGGTGAAAAAAAAGGTAAAAATTATTATCTTTAAAAAGATGCAATAATAAGGAAGAAAAGAGAAGAGAATTGAAAAGCTTCCCACACAAAAATCAGCTATGATGATGAGTAATTTTCCCCAAATTTATTCGGTGGATCCAGTTAAAACAATGGGAAACTTTATAACAGGCAAGTTTACAAAACTGGTACAGTAATTAATAATATTAGAGACATGTGCGGATTCACAGTCATTCAGAGTAACCAAAGACATTTTTCTAAATTTAGAAATATCCTGTGTGTGATAGCAAGGAACTCATCATCCACTGGGGTAGGGTTCCAAGTGTAAATCCAGTCTTCCTTAATAAAGAATTCAGAATTCACCAAAGGTGAGGGAAAGTGAGGCTGTTTTAATTGCACAGATAGGCAGGAAATGATGTCAATGCTTTTTTCAACCCCGCGAGCGGCGCCTTTTGTTTTTCCGCAGTTTTTTCTTGTTCTCTGGGCTGTTTTCTTTTTCTCAGTTCCTCTATTCTAATCGCGGGACATCACTCCTGAACTCTTTGCACGAATGAGCCCGGGCTAACTCCCCGTCTCGCCGCTAAGCATAGGGTCATTTTTGCTCTCCTACCTCTCCACGGTTCGTCCCATTTTCAGACATCCGTGACAGCACCATTAAGATTGCCTTTAGTGATCTTTATACAATTCTGGTCACTATTACAAAAAATCTATTACTTCTGTAATCAATCCCAGATACAGTACATTTTGTGGCTTAAATGAATATCCTACACTGATCCACTGCTAAATCAACTGAATATTCTTAGAACAGAGAACAATACGAGGGGACTTGATTCAAATATTCAAAGCCCTCAAAGGCATTGATAAACACAGTCCAACAGTTTCTTTGGAATCAGTAGCGAAACAAGAACCAGGGAACACAAATGGAAACTAAGGGGAAGTGCAATTGAACTGAGAAGAGGAGGCACTTTTTTACAGAAAGGGATGTGGAAACATGCCATGTTTTCAACGCTGATACCCTGATTATTTTCAAGATACGTTTTGAAGAGATCCTCACATTAATTAGCTTCCAGCAGTCAATAGTCTCCTCTCATTTGCAAAGATTCATAAGTTATAAATCTACAGAAATGTGTAGAAGACTACAATGCTACAAGTGTAAATGAAGTTCATATAACATACTGTATATACTGTACCTGAGCAAGAAATAGAAAAAGAACAACACATTCTCTACCTGTCATGGAAAAAAAAATCAATTACATATTGTGTTAAACCTGTTT